ATTGATTCTGAAAGTTTGAAGAAGGGATACAAAATTGAATACTTTTTGGTTCTTTTTAATGGTGGTCTTTGCTAAATAAGATCTCTTGACTTTTGTTTAGACACGATTTCTTGTTTTTTGACCGATATTGAACAGATCTCGATAGGAAAAGTAGAATTTCTTTCAAAATCAATAATATATTTCGAGTCAGCACAAAAACTGAGTTCACTTATATATGTTTCAAAGTTTTTCGTTATACTATTTTTTCTTGAAATCTTCAGTCAGGGATCTCCTCAGAGTTTAGTCAAAAAATGAATTAAAGGGGGATCCCCCTTCAGAAAATCCATTTTTTTATAACGTGATAGAAGTTGAATTTTTATCATAGGAAGATGCATCAAAGTTTCCTCTTTCAGAATATATATAGGTTTTTAAAAAAAGACCAAATTTTAACAGACCTCCGTAGGAGATTTCCAGCTCACTACCCGGTTTTTAGACAGATTTTGGCTGTTTTCGATATTTTTGAGATAACTATGTTGCTACTTCTATCAGCATGAAATAGACATATTTATATTGACATAGTACGGCACCTGGGGCTAGATTACATCATCTATTGCGTGCTTTCAAAAATTCCCCATAAATATTTTCAATATTCCATTAGTTCTGAATTTGAATGAAAGAATCAATTTCTAGACTTATTTATTATTTTTCTCAAAAATATGGTTTTTGATCAGAAAAATGGAAATAACTCCCGCACGATATAAGATAATACGAATATTTTGTTTTGTTTTAAAGGTCTAAGCGAGATTGAAATTTTGTCTGACTTGATTTTTTATATTTGATTTCTGCAATAGGAACAGCGAGATTTAATGTCATGCAGTGACAGTCTTTTTGGCTTATTTCAACCCCATATGTACTGAAACGATCATAAAAAATGAATGAAAACCAATTTCAAAATTCTATCTGATGAAAAATTGCGCATTGCAGCCAGTTTTACTTTGAAACTATCCCGAGCCCTCTATCTCTTGTAATACGGAAGTTATAAGGATTCTCTTGCAGGCTAAAAATGGACTATAAATAGGCCAGAAGTTCCGTCTAGTTTGACATATCGCGCTGAAATTTTTACTTGAAGTGTTTTTCGCTACGAATATTTATTTCTGAAAATTTCAGCCTAAACGGATCATCCTACGCGGCATGTCGATTCTGAGGAGCCCTTAAGCAAAATATCTTTATTATTGTTTGGATGTCTGTTCTTTTGTCTCTAAAGAACGTTTGAGAGGCTCTGAACTTGTTTTCTACTGTTCAAATGATTTTATTCTTAGATTTATTTTTAGACTGAACCTTAAAGGGAACCTCGATTGAGTTTTTCGAGAAAAAAAGTACAATGTGACTCAGTTTTTGTTCTGACTTGAAATATGTTATTGATTTTGACAGAAATCCTACTTTTTCTATCGACATCTGTTCAATATTGGTCAAAAAAAACAAGAAATCGTGTCTAAACAGAAGTCAAGTGATCTTATTTAGCAAAGACTACCTCTAAAAACAACTAAAAAGTATCTAATTTAATAGCCTTTCTTCAAGCTTTCAGAATCAATGAAAATCCTATGTTGTTGTTTTTGTTTCTCAAGATATTGAGAAAACAGTGAGCAGGACTAATAATATAATATATGATTGTCATACTTATTTGAAAACAATATTTACATCGTTATTCACCAAGATTTTAATCGTGGGAGCTGAAAATTTTATTATACATAGACTGCAAAATGGGTAATCGAATGAACTAGTTTTCGATTCGAAGTGTCTCGTGATGGAAAAACGTACTTGCGTCATCCGTCTATATATGTATCATCGATTTATGGCACAAAAGTGAGTATAATATGTTGAGCAGGTAAGGGTCTGGATCCTTCAGAAATAGCTTTATTTTGTTTCTAAACAACTTTCGATGAAATTCTGCATTAAATAAGTCATGAACGGGTAAGAATTCAAGATGTCTCAAAAATAATCATTATCCACCCCTGTTCTTTAATTTATTTTAATTTAAACTTATTTGCTTTTTTATAATATATTATATAAAACGATAACAGAAAGTTATTCTATTTATTCATAAGCTTTGTAGGCGAGGTCCATATAAATTTCAAGGGATGTTTAGGGATAATCTTCATAAGTCATTAGGGTCTATATCAGCACATCTCCATAACTTTTTTGGGGATATCTAGGAGTGATGTCCATAACTTCGGTGGTGTCTCTCTTTGGTAGCTTTCAAAAAATGATGGATACCGCCCTTATATAACTCTCAAAGAGTTATGGGCATCACCTCTAGATAGCCTCTAAAGCGTTCTGATGGTCACTTCTAGATAGCTCGTAAAGGGTTATGGTGATTCACTGGATAGCTCCTGAAGGATTGTGGAAAGCATTTATTGAAAGGTCTTAATAAGTTATGAGGATGATTCCTAGATGGTCCTAAACAGTTATAGAAACTACCTCTAGATAGTTCATAAACAAATAGTATAATGTAATTTAATTTTTAATTTAACAACATTATAAAAAGCTAAAAAATTAATTTTAACAAATTAAATTAATTTTAAGTTAAATTTATTTGAAATTTAAATCATGGATAATTTAATTTGTGCATAAATAAAATTAAAAGTAAATATAAATTGATATCCCTACTATGGACTCTCCTCTGTAGTACATATTCAACATGAATTAATTACTGACTAAGAATAAATAATTTTTTCTTTATTCATTTCTTCGAATAATTTTTATGTGTCCTATAACTAGCTATTGCATGAGTGCCTCATTCGTTTTGGATATTATACTGATATATAATCATATTTATATCGGATTTGGATGTACCTTTGCTCTATCCATTTGTCCATGGCTTATGCAAAGATGAGGAACATTATCAATTAGTTATATTATATTCTTTTATCATTATGTTTTCCTTGGATTCATCCTTTTTGTGGTCCTCCGATAGGTCTATAAAGAACAAAACAAGAAGAAAAAGCAATATGAGAATTGGATTGTTCAACGTGTACAACTTTAAAACGTTTGTGATGTTTAATTTGGTCAATACAGGATATATAGATAACATAATATCAGCTTTTTCTTCTTTTATAGATTCTGATTTAAAATGAGAAATAAAGAAATGGATTTGCTAAAAACAATAGGTATTCTATATGTTCTTGGTGTTCATTACTACGTACCAAAAATATTTTATTATCCTGCTCTGTCATTTCTATTATCATTATTTTTCTTTATTTCTGGTTATTTTTTCAAATCAATTGATGGATTTCGTATGAAATTAATTTATTGTGCACAGAAGACTAAAGAGCTGATATGGCCTTATTTTCTATATCAACTGTTGTTAGCAATTGTATGTTACTTTTTACAAATATGTTTAGCAATTAACTTGTTAGGAACTAGTTGGGATATAGATTTATTACAGTATCCAATTAATCTACTTCTCAAACCATTATTCGGTGGTAGTTCTATTGTTTTTGCTGGAAGTTGGTTTGTAACAGATTTGTGGCTTATACTAATCGTAATGCAATTTATCTACAATAACAAGAGTCGTGATAAGAAAACTGATTTTGTTTATTTGTTTTGCTTTTTGTTAATAACATTAGTTAATATTAAGTGGTCATATACATCACCTCGTCCTACATCTCCACAAAATACTTTCCATTATCTTCAACATAGTTTATTTAAGCGTATTTTTATTCGAACGTCATTTAATTTATTATTTATGTTTTGTGGAATAATTTACCGTGCACATATTGAAAAACATCAGAAATTATTATTTACAGGAAGAAATTTTTGTTTAGCATTTATTAGTATATGTCAATTGGACTATTATTATAACGGTAATATTTACTATCACCATTTCAATGCTGAATTTTTATCTGTACCAATTTGGTTACCAATTTTAACATCTATTATTGGCATCTACATTTTTATGTTTCTTGCAAAATGTGTCTCAAAACATATTGATGATAATAATATTTTATTGACGATTGGTAAAGAAACATATCATATTATGTGTCAGCATGCGCTTGTGTATCTGTTGCTAAATATCATTACAATTGCGCTTTTTCTTGACAAAAACTTTCAAGTTCTAAGTGGGAATGTAATTTATAAATACAAACCAGAAATGAACTGGCCTATTTATATTAGTTGTGGTTCACTGATACCGACGTTTTCAGCTATTTATATGCGAAAATTCATTAGAAAAAAACCTACCAACACAACTCCTAATACACTGAATTTTGAAGTTGATATGTCTTCTTCGGATCTCGAAACTGGTGCAAAATTCGATATATGAAGAGCCTACAATAAATGACAGCTTCTCAACAATAATATGTGATTGTTAGAAGACCCCTCAGACTTATTTATTTCTCTATATTGAATATTCTTCGTTCTTTACTTTTTCGCTAGCATTCTATTGCTTATTTCTCATGTTTTTATGCGCTCATCTTTCATTTCCTGTTTCACGATCAATATAAAAATCTTCACACGTCTTACAGGACAGTTCATTCACCTTGTTCCACTATAGTATCTAAAATCAAATTGACACTTGAAAAGTCTACCTGAGGAAGGAACATTCTCAGATGTCAATTCGCTTTTCATTTGAGACATAATGCATCTTGTAAATCTTAATGAAGTATGTCTGTCATAAAAAGGGTGGGTATTTATCGTTTGTTTCGGAGGAGATCGAATATTTTTATTTTTATAGCTGTGTCATCTTATCAGGAAAAATCATCATGTCAATTAATATAGATTGAAACGATCTAAGATATTCTTCACGTATAGTTGTGCTCATATCGAAGATAAAATGCAAATATAAGTTCAAATGACTTCAGAAAAACAGACTTATTGGTTTTATGAAATTTTAATGTAGTGTTCAGTTTATGAACTTTTAACAAATAATATACGTATACAAATTCAACCTCATATGGATTCACACATAATAATTCATATTGCTTTTGAGTAATTCATTTAGTTAGTCGTAAATCTAAAAAGTATCAATATGCACGTTCAATAAGACTTGCCACTGGATCATTTGTTTCGAGACATTCACGAGCTTTGCACTCTAAAATAAATAACTTTATTATTGAACATGAAATGTTTCGTAAATCAATGAGAAACAGATCGACTTATATTTCTATAATACAAATCAATCTGCTAGTCTCAACTTTTGCTTTTCAGCAAACCGTTTTCTGTCGAAAGTAAAATATTAAATTAGATGTGCTTGAATTAAAATCAATTGAGAAGAAATGCCGAGTTAATTTCGCCGACGTGTTTCGTGTTATTTATTTAAATATTGAAACACTCATCAAGGCTGTGCATTAGAAATACAAGCAAAAATTAAGAAATTAAAAAGTTAAAAATCAAAAAGGAAAAAGACGAAACAGAACTAAATAGCTTTGCGAACTTATCGCGGAAACAAAAACGAATAATTTATATAAAGTAGAGGTTGAGCTGTAGGTCGTCTTCAGAACAAATCACAAGTACTTAATTGAAATAAAGCATGAAATATCTATTTGAATCGTTGTATAATATATCAGTAAAATATTTATTTATAGCATTAACTAAACTTTTGAATATAAATAACATTGATCTGGGCCCGATGATTTCAAATAAGTAGCATTGTAATTTTCAGTTCAGTAGTTTGAAATAAATTTCAAATCAATCAATTGATATATTAAATTTATATTGATCCAGCTATTATTTTGAATAACTTGATGTCTAGCTGATAATTGTTGACTCGATGAAGTTATTCAACAAAATCAAGTCGAACGATTGACAAAATGAATTAATATTCTATTAAGTCAACCATAGATGGAATAATAATAATTCCATATTTCTGACGCTGATTAGCGGATAATTAGCATAACAATTGTTTTAACTAAGACCATTGATAAACTTAGTTAAAATCAAACTCAGATAAATTAAATCTAAATCAATCAAATCTGATATTTTATCAATAATAGCAAAGATTGAATCTTTTAAAGAACATTTTTTCATTCGATCATATTTAAATAAATGGTCTCAGGAATCTTAAGTTGGTTCGAATTATCAAATCTTTAAGATTCTAGCTGATTTCAGCCGTCTCACATTCAATGCGAGTGATTCATGATAATTTGTATTTGTCTATCGAATTAATGATTGAGACCAACACTTTGTATATTTCATGCATAGAGTAAATCAAATGGTGTAAGTCTAGTTTATGTAAACACCTTTGTTTTTGCGACTTTTGAGGGTGAAAGTTGTTTATATATACTAGACTTGTTCCAAGTCAAATATGCCACTCGATAGAGCGAACTTTGCTCTACAAAACTGCATATTTAGTTCTGGAACAAGTCTGGTTTATATAAACAACTGTCACCTTCAGAATTCGTAAAAACGAAGGTGTTTACATAAACTAGACTTATACCAATCAAATTAATTTTTATAAAAGTAAAGTAAAGAGATTGATCTTAATCATATCACATTTGAATATAACATTTAATAGACAATAAGACTAATATCTTGTATATATTAAATTACCAATTAATGATGAATGATCAACTTTTATAAAAATTTATATTTCAATGCAATTAGATAATATTATATTTATCAAATGTATCGGTAAGATTAATATTGCAAGAATGAAGGTACACTTATGATTTCGGTTGTCTCCTATACTATGGAGACAACACTTGATGATTTGTATTACTGTACTTTAATATTCATGAAGCACAAACAACGTGTTGCATATGTGGTGTTTTTCTAAAGGTAGGCACAGGTCAAGCGGACTCTTGGTATGATAATTTACACATTAGTATAACAACAATTAAGATTTAGTATATTGAATAACTCGGTGTTTAGTTGACGGTTGATTTTTTAATACCAGATTTTTACTTAATGAAACTGTTCAATAAGCTCTTTAAATGCAATTATATATAAATACATTAGATGGTTTAATAATAATCTCATATGTATGACGTTGACCAGCAGGTAGTTAAATAGATTCATGAAATTAGATACAATCAACTCTTCATAAAATATTTTTAAATCGTAATATTTTCGATTTACATATGGCAAAGAAGCAGGAGTGCAGCATCTGCCGGTGAAATAAAAATTTTCCCCCAAGGGCAAAATTTTTGCGAAAAATTTCCCGCTATAAAATGCAATTAAACAGTGACCTTTCTCGTTTAAGATATTTATTCAAAAAAAAAAAAACCAATCACTATTCATCACATTGCAATTACACATTAAAGAAAAGAATGCTATTATTCAATATGGTCTGTTTCACATAATCTGGCTATTTTCACTTTTCGTAAATGATTTAAACTAACAAAATGATATTCTGTCAAGTTGTATTCTGAAATCTTCAATTTAAATCTTTCTGCAGGATAACTTTTTTCTAATGCTTTTTTTGCTTCATCTTTTCGCCCGGCCTATTCACAATAAAAACATAATACCTGTTGTTTGGTTGAATACTTGTCTACTATTTAAATTACTTTTATAAAAGATGAAGTCGATCCAAATCGTACCCAAACTAATTTTGGAAAAATAGTCGGATACAGTGAAGCCTTAAATTAATACTAAATGATTGAACTATAAACAATTTTATAATAATATAATGCAGTTGACCAATTTGAAAAGAGCCTTGATCGATTGCTTTACATGCCTAATTTAATAATTGTATAACATAGGCCTGTTTCTTTTCATAACATTCTCAATAATCGTGTGTTTATGAAGTTGAGTTATTTCTGTGCGGAATAATGCTTTTATCCTTTTCTCTTTTAAATTCTTCCATTTTTCTGTATTCCAATAAACAAACGTCTGTAGTGCTTTGAGATTAATATTACCACTAAAAAGGCTGCTGATGGTTAAGTGCTGAGACTAAAAAGTTTATTTTAATCCACAACTGTATTAGTTGGTATTTACTTACATTGATATGAACTATAAATCGCACTCTTATTGTCCCGGAATCAAGTTTCTCTCTATCGTCTATTCCTGATAGGGAGGACTACGATTAAAAAAATCGAGCCACTTTTCCAAAAATGAAGTCGAATTTAGCGAAACACGAATTGATTTTTCAAAAGTGAATCCGAACTGAACTGAGCTCGAACCAACGAATAATGGTTCGATTCAGTTAATAATGGTTAGGGGAGGGAAGTTACCGTTACGTTACCGGTTAGCTAGTAACGGAAGAAGTTACCCATTACTTTTTCCGGGTAACTTCTCAAAAAGACGACTTATGACTTCCAATCGACCGAATATGGTCAAAACATCATGTTATAATGTTTCGAGTTACTTAGTAACTCCCCAACGGAAAAATTGATGTATTCACCGTATTTGGTCGATCGGAAGTCATAATTCGTCTTTTTGAGAAGTTACCCAGAAAAAGTGACGGGTAACTTCTCCCATTACTAGTTATCTGGTAACGTACATGGTTGGTAACGGTAACTTCCCACTCCTCATAATGGTCATAAATTAGTTATCATAGTGATTGTGACCCATACGCACACGCAATAACAACTGTATGCACCAACAGAGGAAAACGGCAAGTGATGAAATTCTATTAGGAAAAGTACAGAAAGACAATAAAAGAAAACAACTAATGTGTATTGTATTATGAATAGGCACAAAGAGACAGGGTCAAGGAAATAGTCATATACATGATGAACGTAAACAAATGTAGACGATACTGATACTACAATAAAGACGCGTATGGCGCTTTCAGAAGTTTAATCAGAAGAAAAGAAAATAGACAAGTAGAAGATCTTATGAATGTTTGCATAAATAAACCGAGCTTAATTTCGAAAAATTCCCTATGAGGGAAAATATCAAAAATTTTTCTCAGATGTCACTAAATCTTCAAAAAATTCCCCAGATGCTAATGAATTTTCAAAATTTCCCCCGACGGTCGTCGGCGCACATGGATAGATTCTGCACGGCTGGTGACCAGTCTATTGTAGTCTAATTTATGGTCTCATCGATTGTGTTCTGTAACTTTTACTTTTGAATTTAAGTCAATTATGCGGACACCAAATCGAATAATATTCTGAACAGAAGATTCTTTTTCGATCAAGCCAGAAATTTAGTTAGTAATCGAACAAATGGTATTTGTTGCTGAAAAAAAATGACTGCTCGATTCCAACATATCTCAAATAATATTTCTGAAACACAATAAACTTAAAATATGATTGACGTAGTTTTTTCTTATAAAATTTTTTTTCGAATAAATCAATAAGAAGTCAAATTTTAATGATAATGATATGTAGATTGTCTGCTAAATCATATATACATAGAAACTCAGAACAGGTTGCAATGTAGAACAGTTCACTGATTATTGAGTTTTATTTCATAATCTTTTTCGTATCATAGCCATTGATGGTAGAGTTTTTTTGTATAGTACAGGTAAAAAATAGTTTTCCCATGAAGTAAACTACCTTTGTGAGCATTAAACTTCTTATTTAAAATAATTATTGTTTTCATGAGTAAAATCTTTCAAAAAGGAAATACAATGAATTATATCCTAAATAAGAACAAAAAAAAAATTTCTGCCAGTAGATAGAAAGTTTCATATAAAAAGAATTGTACTATCATCACTAATGAAAAATTAATCCTTAACACGTTTTTAATTAATCAAGAAATGATTCAAGGTGATGATTTGTTTCGAACACACTCATTCCTTCCAAATAATGGTCGTGTATAATTATATAAACAATCGATTGTTGTGTGTCATGCATCTCCTTTCATTCTGACACCCACTCACTTCCTCACTACATACTATATCAGTAGTGCAATGAGGTTGCAACGTATTACAAACAGAAAAGCAATCATTCATTTCATCATTCAACTACATGGCTGTAAACAATACAACGATTTCTCTGATAATTCTGTGTTGAGTATAAAACTATCTTAGGTATTTGCTTCTTGTTCTCAATTACTGATTCACAATTGTTTGCAGCAAAAAACGAATCCTAGGTATTAGAGTAATGTTCTTTCGCTAAATAACGCCATTGGTAGTAATTACTGTCAACACACCAGGATGAGTCTTGTCCACATCGACAGTTTCCTAAATACAGACATAGCAAGACTACCAAATTGTTATCTCGGCATAAGGGCACCGATTTCGTTAGACACTGTCTGTGGTATCTCGTCGTCATTCTCTTTATAATTGTCTATGAAATGACATTGAGGGTTAGTCTGATCTATTCCATTTGGCAATGGGAGCGATGATGGTGAAATCAACAGGCTTGTTTCGATATCATCTCTACAAATAATATCTTTGTTTTGATCTATCAAATGAAGTTTCACTTACTGTTTTTTGTCGTTGGCATTGACAAGGAGAGGATCAATACAGAAATTTCCTTGTCTCGCTTCTAGATCCTCATTTTCTTCATCGGAGTAATCGTTGAAGTCAAGTTGCTCTGGTTTAATGTAGAGTTTACTTGTATATACTCGTTGATATCGATCGACTAGAACTGAAACAAGCATAGCAATAGTGCCCACACCACTCAAGGCACATAAAGCAGCAATCAGACGTCCGAGAGCTGTGACTGGCACTATATCACCATAGCTAAACATGTAAAATAAAATAAAATAATATTTCTATGTCTCTCTCGTTTTTCCACTTGTTGTCGAATTACACTTTCTATGAAAACAGGTATTCTTACCCGACACTAGTGATTGTTATAACACCCCAATAGGTAGCTTTAGGTATCGAATCAAAAGCCGAACTATCATTTGTATTCTCGATGAGATAGATAGCTGCACCAAAGAGAAATGCTATAAGCGTCAATGTAACTGCCAAAACAAGAAAATCAGGCATTGATTCTTTCACTGTCACGGCAAGAACACGAATGGTTTTGATATTTTTAAAAACTCGATAAAATTTAAATATACGAACACATCGAAGAACACGTAACAATGCAAGACTACTATAAATGGTAACATTTTGATAGTGTAATTGATCAACAAGATTAATGATAATGTTGACATAGAATGGAACGACAGCAATTATATCAATCCAATTCATAAAACTCTTGAAATGCTTAGATAATGATGGTGTACTGATTAGACGTAGAATCAACTCAAGAGTAAAAAATCCAATACAAATTATCTGAATTCGATGAAATGGTGATGAAAAATAGGAAAGACAAATATGTTCGCTAAAATTCATCGAGTAATTGCTCTTTCCAATTTTACGGTGCTTATATTCTTTTGTACATGCATCTTCTGATAAATGTGAATATTGTGGTAATGATTCAATTGCTAAGGTAATTGTAGAGATAAGAATAATAATTAACAAAAGAATATTAAACAGTTTGGCAATGAATGAAAATTCTGGATATTCTATGGTGGCCCAAATATATCGACGGCAACGATTCCGAGGTAATTGAGGTTTTTCAACCTCTTTCAAATTTTCATCTTTGCATACTTGAGCAAGAGCATCTTGACCCAAATCAAAAAAAGTGACTTCTTCAAGAAATGTATCAAGTGGTACTGAATTGGGTCGACGTAATCGACCTTTTGATTGATAATAATAGAGAATAGCTTCAAAACATCCTCGATGACGATCAAAGAAATATTCATCAAGCACAGTATCATAATAATATTTACGTCGTTTTTCATTGCCTAACAACGTATTTGGATAGACTTCAAAAGTAGATTTGAATGTCTCAAAACGAACTCCACTTATATTAATGATAATACGATTTTGAAGTGAAGTATTCATAGAAACTTTTCGTCGTTCAGCTTCGATCATCTGCTGATGAGATAGATCTCGCATATCGATGATATCCCTAGTAAATCGATCATCCGAGAGAAAATCGTAACTTGCATGCAAAGTGAAAGAAAAAGAAGCAGCACATATGTACATGAGTGAATTGCAACTTTTCGATACAAACGAAATGTCCCTACTGATATATCAAATTTCTGCTTTTTAGCTCATATTATTGCTGATTTATGAGCCGTGTAGTATAAAAAACATTGTATTTTACAGTAAGATGTAGTAAAAAAACGAAATTTTCGAAACATTGAAGGAAAAAGAAGAGCTAATGAATAGTCGATTTTGTAAAGTATGCTATGTTCGATCGAAATATATATCTTCTTCATCCGTGTTCTTATCTTTCTATGAGCTTTCATACATGACACTCGATGGCATACACGTCATGATTTTTGCATAGAAGGACACTGCACTTTTTTAAAAGACGTTTGGAAAACCACAGTACAAATACCTCGTGAATGATTCATTTATTCTTATTTAAATCTTTATTAAAATTATATTTCTTAGAGTTTTATGGTCAGTTCAAAATTCAGCTTTGTATCTCTTTCTCGTATGAAGAAACTAAGAAAAGATGATGCAATGTATAAGGACATTTTTCATTAAATTGACTTTTTTTGTACTACATTTACGTTGAGGTAAGTCGAATCTCCACTAATATGTGATGAAGCGTTGGAAAAATTTTTGTCATATGATATAGACATAGAGTGTAATAAGATATGCTGCACGAAAATTCTTTAGGTCTACTTTCATTTTTTCACACGAATCATATCAGAAAGTTGAGATTCACTCGTATACAAAAGCCGTACTAAAATAAAAGGAAGACACACAACTCATTAAAGATTTTAATTACTTACGGACTACGTTGATGTAAAAATATATCGTTCGTCTTAAATAGTGTTTGACTTCGTCTGAATCGGTATACATAAATCAAGATATATGAAAGTGTCTTCTTCCAGACGCATACCTCCTTAAATTGCTAAGAAATTCACGATCGATTGAGCATGATCTTCGATTAATAACACCGACTTGATCATGATGATGCACAGATGATGATGTTTTTAATGTGTTCATGTTTCAGTAATCTATAGGAATGTATGAGCATGGAGTACATAGTCGATCAACAAACACTATTTCAATTAGGTGGGAAAATCTCGAAAATTTAATCAGCTTGTTCAACACCTTATCGTATGATAGACTACGAGTATAAATAGGGACATGTGTCTTCCTTTCCTTCTGACATACACACTCATAGTTTGATATACTTAAACTTGAGAAGTTTAATTCTAGTCGATTGAAAATTAAAAACTATTATAAGCTAATTTGTTCCCCAATCTATATCTATTTGTGAAATATTTGAATCGTGTGGTTTCACTTATAATGAGAAAATTGATCATTGAAATGTTTATTTCTAATATTAGACATAAAAATGTCCTATAATTTAGTCATCATGACAAAAACTTGGCAAATGATGGCGAACTATGCTAATTTTTTTTGACGTACACTTATTTCTATGATATATGATTGAAAAAGGAACTTCACTTTCATTGTTAACTATAGACTTCGAAAAATGAAATCTTATCTTCTTGTTTAGTGACAGTTTGTGATCGGAAATGAGCAATGATTTAAACTTCTATCTTACTGAAATAATGCCTACATTCAACAAGTCTAAGAGTAGCTAATAGGCTAATGTTATTATTTTTTTGCTGATTTAATATTCATCACTGCCAGTCGCTTTACATCAGGTTATCGAATTTAGCTTGGCTTATTTTAGAGTTTTTTTGTCATTTTCTATTGCTTCATGGAATGTGAAACGGTTTTGTTTGTTGCGTGCATGCATTTTCTAATATATTGCAGAGATGAATACTGCAGAAAAGTAGTTTGTCTACGATTTGTAAGAACTTCTAATTTTTGACATTTTCCTTTCAGCGTTTTTATAACTTTACCTGTTGAAGTCACATTATAACAAGTTCTGAATAAAATACAATATATTGAAAGTTGAATTATAAGAACCTGCTGGTTATTTTATTTAATAACAAGTATGAGGTCGTATGTGCCATTCGCTTGATTACTTCTAATGTTCGGTAGAAGAAAGAATGAAATAAGAAAAAAAAAACTTACAGTGAATCAATACAGGTAAATATATGTGTCTTTCACTTGTGGAGAATCAATATTAAGCAACAATCCTGTTGACAAGAAAAACACCAGAGATAATTTACATAAAGGGAAACTAGCACATCCACATCCCACAGATCTCAAAAAGTGTGCTGTCACAATAGCATTATGAACAACACATGTTGATTCTATTTCGCTTCATCTCGCTATTGACTCTGTTGTTATTCTCTCGAATGAGAAAAAACCGTACTTGTTGACAACTAAAAATGAACGCCCTGGATCGACTGCTTATTGAAATCTTTGCGCAAGGGAAACCGTTACTGAAAGTGTACGTTGTGCAGGGGCATCGTGTTTTTTGCAAAAGAAAGTGAAGGAAATATATACATACTAAGCAACTTTTGACGCATACAGAACCTGTTGTCTTCGCCAAAAGTAACAAGCAGACTTTCATTTTCATATCATGCTGATTCAAGTTAAAACTTAGCGAAGAATAATTGTGTGGGTGTGAATGTGGGTGTCTATGAACAGGTGCCAACACTTCTACTTACACCCACATCCCACCCCACACCCACACCCACACTCACATCTATTCGATTCGATTTATGAAAATCTTTGATTAACAATTAATATCAATTTTTAAAAGCTACAAAATCGCATATTTTTCGAACTTGAGTGTGGGTGTGAATATCGCTGGTGTTGGCGATGTGTGGGATATGAATACCGGTCTGAGAGAAAAGTATTCGAAAGCTAGACGCAAAATCAAGCCCATCCCGCGTACCCTGGCGAAGGAAATTCACACACACCCCTAGCAATTTTTTGCTTCCAATTCATTCTTCGACGAATTATTGAGGTAATATGAAATGAAATGTCAAAAAACAGCAAAGCAGAAAAGTAAAAGTCCGTCAATCAAAAACAAAAAGAAAACTATCGCGTATTGACTCACTCGAGCAAATCAAGTTATAGTGCAACAGTGCCATCCGACATATACTAGTGGCATATTTGTGTGGTACCTCTTTTTCTGCGTAATCACTGCACTGGGTGACAATAAATTATCCTAGCACATCTTTTACGATCATCGTACACGATTGTCGTATACAAACATTGTGTTTGTTACATATGTTGTCGTATAGCGTCGTTTGCCATTGTACACTTTCATGTTCAAATACTTCGTATTATACAATAAGGCAATTTCAAAAAGAGATTTCATATAGAATTTCAACTTTATCTTTAAATTGAAAATCACAAATTATGTTTTATTTTATATATTTTATTGAAATATATGATATCCAAGCTACATATATTACTACCAAAAGGAACACCATAATGATGGAATATTAAGAGAAAAAAAGAGAATCACAATGGAGAAATACTAAATAATTAAATGACATTTGATGCCTAAAATTAAAGCCAATCGTTGCATCAATGTCTATAAATAGTAGCAAAGCGAATGGCAAAACTTTTTTTAATGTGGGATATAATGCATGGTAAAGAAGTCATTCTGAATCCAAAAGAATTTGTTTATTGCCAATATGGCTGCTTTCTTCGTGCAGTCATCTAAACCGAGGTCGTTCCCTAAAAGAGCATTAATGAGAAGGTGTTGAGTGAAGCCAAGTGTTGCATTCATGAACACATAGCTGACATCAATATTTTTAGATTCAGCTTTGTTTGCATGTATTTTGCCAAGATGTGACATGTATTCGAGGAATCCCTTGTCCCATTCGCTTTGTGTCAAAACCTTTTTCAAGTATGTGCTCAGCATATCATTGAGAAAAGTAATTCGCTCTGGAGTTAAATCGAGGCCGCCAGGAGTCGTCGTACTATTTCCTTGAAAGTGCACTTTATGATTAGCAAATATACTTCTGATAGCATCAAATGAAAACAAATTGTTGTAAACGGCTTCCACTACTGTTGGTACAAGTGGCACCATGGTTGGTGCAATTTTATTGAGCACACTAATATCATCTTTGGTGAAATTAAGAAATTTTGACAGATAACCAAATCGATATTGAACATCTGTATTCATTCGAGCAAGATCAAGTTTTTCCATGATGAATTTTGTTGTTGATAACTACCTTCTTCAAGTAAGGATTTTAAAATGCTTCTACAATGATAGATAAAATATGAGATGGACTATTGTTCGAAAATCATAGCATCAAATGTTCCTTAAATTAAACCTACTCTTAACTGATGAAAAGAAAATGATACCTATGATTGTCTCGCATGTATCCAACTATGAGTTACTTGAATTGTAACTAGTCAAGCACAATAATACACAAAAACCACTCCTCAATACTTGAAAATCTAACTGGGGATGTATCGAAGACTATCATATTCGTTTGTGCGCGCATATTTTGCCTACCTAGACACGTGCAAGCACACAACAAAACAAAAATCGAATTCTCAGGGTACTTTTTCCATATGAAAGGAGTTCACAAGGCTTTTCAATGATCATATCACAGAATTTCACTTCGCAACTCGTTAGATCAATAGTTCCTATGTTAAATAGATATTCAATATGTTCGTGCATTGCCGTATCGAGATCTCTAGCTATTAATGTTCATATACAAACATTAAAAGCATATAAATATATGCCTACATACCATGTCACGACTAATGGCATGAGAGATATTAGTTTAGATGGACTAACACTATTCTCTTTTTTCCTATCATTGTTCGTCTTGTTTTCGTACAAAACATATGTTTATATACTCAACCGCAGGAGAGAAGGAGAGAGTGAGCGAGAGGAGGGAAGAAAAAGATAAAGCCAACAAAAAAAATGCAATTACAAAGAAGGGTAGATATATCGGTGTCTTAAGGAAAAGTGATGAAATAATTGACAATATATATGCCTGTGAAAGAAGAAAAAGAAAAACATATTGCGATAAGAAATGGCATAGGAAGCTTAGCATATGGTGTTGGAAATCTCAATATGTCCATAAAATGACATTATAAAGTAACACAGTGTACTCATCCAGAAACATCACACAGGCAAATAGGAGTAGATCATTTCATATAGCAACACTTGATTAAAAACATTAATTAAATGACTTCACTTAACACTTGATAATAAGTATTTATTAAGAATATTTAAACTTAATTCTAAATTAATCTAAATGATTCATTCAGACAGACAAATACATATGATTGAATTACATGCTCTTTTTACCGTTGGTTCTATGTTCATTTCGAGAATATTTTCAGTGTCTCTTAATAGATTTACATGGAACCTTTTTTCTCATGTTTATTTTAAACTTCATCAAATAAAATTGGCTTTTTATACTGCTTCCTTTCCGAGTTATGAGAGTTTTATAAGTTCAGAAATGTACAAACACTATCATTATATGTTAACAAATAGGTGGTCCCTCTCTATTATGAAGGCATTTGTTCCCACTTTTGTTTTCATATTCTGCTCTATAAAAAGTACAGCTCCTACAATATTGATCCTATTTGATCTGAAAACGAAGTGTTAAACAAAAAAACCTTGAAGTTTGGGCTTTGCTTAGCATCGAGATAACAAATAGATTGAAATAGGTCACAAAAAGAAAAGGTACCTGAAGAAGCAATACTCAATCAAAAAGATATTAATGAAATATGATTCGCTTCAGAGAGATAGTAAGTGATACCTGTGAATTAAGGCTGTTTAATTCCCTTTCCTAATATGGAATCGGCAATAGCCCGAGAAGAATATCTGCGAAGATGTGATATGTATGTCTCCAATTGGTCGAGCCCCAACTACACGTCTTGTGTCTCAAGTTACACATTTTTTTATATGTGATCAGAACCTAATCCTTGTCATGTTCGTCTGTTGATTTCATTTGGAGACCTATCATTATTTTTTTCAAATTTAATTACAATTGAGCTAACACTAATCGTTTATTCTCATTTCTTGAGCTCAGATTGTTTCGATGTCTTCTATTAGTTTCACAAAACTCCATTTTTTCTCACTTTTTCGAGAAGGAGGCATAATCGGGCATATGGAGCAAATTCGACAAAATGAGCATATTTGATACAGAAAAGGGTACGGCATGAGTCCTTTCGCGGCATCCGCACCAAGAGAGATACCTTGTATATGTGTTAGCATATCATTTCACATTTCATTGATTAAAACTACATTGTTTGGCGAAAAAAAATTCTCTGTTCATACCATCATTGGAGTTCCGGAAATCAATTTGATTTCAGGAAAGTCAATGACTTTCTTGAAAGCTCATATAAGGCGTCATATGATTTTTTTCCCCTTTTTCTATTGTATTATATATACTCAGCTATGTTACTTATATGTAATAAAATCTGTCAATCATCATCACAGGTACCATGATCGATTTATTCAACTTGATATTTGATTCGAAAAACAAAAAATACCTGTAACAATTTGTGGTAAAAGAAAGATTAATCGGGTTTGAATTTACGCCTTGACTGCGGATATGTTGATTGGAATCTACAAACGAAACCCATATTTTCATTAACGCAAGATGTAACATTTTATTGAATTAAGTCAAAATTTATAAAAAATAGGATGCAAAGATATCAAATAAAAAACCATGTTCAAACGTGTTTTATTTGCCTGGCCTCTATAGATGATCTATTACATTCTTTTAGAATTCCTAGCCTCTCTGAGAATTTTCACTGCCTTGTAAAACTCTCTTCTGATAATATCGTAAGCATCCTAATGCTAACTTCAGTAGATAATTAGAAGCAATAGTAAATCAATTTTAATATCGCAATAATAACTCATCGCATTGACATGTTTTTTTTTTCGTTTTATTCCAACTATTTGATCAATAGACCTAAGCAGACACCCATCGATCTTTAACGTTCTTCGAACAAAAATAATGAATTTCAGTCGATTTTAGCCGTTTTTTCGGTTTGTTCAAAAATAGCACAAAGAATCGTGTTTTAGCAAATTGTTTCTACTTTTTTATTGTTTTCTACTCTTTTTGTGCGTTTGTCTCTCTAATTTGGTCACATATACACAGAAATGTGGCTACACAGTTATTTCCATGAAAACACGTTTTTTGTTCCTAAAAAAATTGAACTTTTGAGTGTTTATGGATTAAAAAATTTTGTTCAAATTTTCTTTATCGCTGATTGGATTTAGTTTTTCTTTCCACTGTGATGAGCTTTTTGAACAAGAAACATGATATTTACTTTTTTGTATAAGGGAGTTGTTTTTTTTTTCATTTAATATTCTACTGTGAAAGCAATAAGATATTTTTCAATAGATGCATTTTTGCTTCGTTTTTCATCTATCGACAGATAAGAGTAGAGTTAAAAAGTGCTTTTTATAGATCGTATGAATTTTTAATGCATTTACAGTTAGTTCATAACAAGAGAAGATAGACGGTGCTCATTAAAAATTTAAGGCCCTCAGTCCCCCTCCCCCCTCATAATTGATTTCCCACTTTGAACGGGCTGTTTCAGCTGAAATTTTCAGGAATGTTTGTTCCTAGTGAGAAACGCTTATGGTAAAAATTTCAGCCGGATATGCATGACTAGACCGAACTTTCGTCTTGTTTTCGCACCTCTCAGGAGAATCGAAATAACCCTGCCGTAATAAGGGATACATAGCTCGGGCTGGTTTCAAATTAAAGCCGGCCTCTGTGAGCAACTTCTCATCGGACGAAATTTTGAAACTCCTTTCCATTCATTTTTTATGAGCGTTTTAATGGATATGGTATTCAAAATAAGCAAAAAAAAGGTGATACCACGAGGGTTTAAACTGACTTTTCTCAATCCAATAATTGAATATCAAAAATCCATCCAATGAAAAGGTAGCTCAGATTAAGACCTTTAAAACAAAAGACATATCGGTCATACGCCGAGCCGAGTGAAAGTTATTCCAATTTTCTTGCCCAGAAACCGTGTTTGAGAAAAACGCTAAACAAGTTTTAGAAATGAATTTTTTCATTGAAATCCAGAACAAATCATATTACAATGGTATATTTTTAATGTATAAAATTGGGCCGTTTTAAAGTAGTTAATAGCCTAAGGTAGCTAACACCATCTGACATGCTGGTGGATATATAAATGTCCTATTCAATGATAATTTAAGTAGTAACGCAGTTTTTTCAAAACTGAAAAAAAGTTAAAAAACCACGAAAATTTCTTCAAAAATATGGTAGTGAAGTGAAAGTTTCATCTGATAAGTCTTCGAAAATCCGGTCATTTTCCAAAAAGCTATATACCTATACATTCTGAAAGAGGAATGTTCGCTGCATCTTTCTATGATAAAAGCTCAACTTCGATATTTTTTTGAAAAAACTTGATTTTTCTAAGGGGGACCCCTTAAGATATTTTCTAACTAGTTTAACTTTATTCCTTCATAACATCGATGCATCCACTGGAGTAAGGTCGGAATACAGTTAAAATAGTTTGAAAATATAATCTTAACTAGCCCTCAAGTAATCATAAAGTATTGAATTGTCTCATTATCTTATAGAATTCGTTTCATTCAAAAATAAAACTCGTAAAAACGCGTTTTAAATATAGTGCGAAAAGAAATTAGTAAAATCGCACATTTTAGCGCGTTTTAAACGCGTTAAATTATCCGACTTGGTAAAAACTCGTTAATGCATGTAGTAAAACCAATACCGTACAATTCATCAAATAGTTATAACAAGTTTGAATTCTGAACGATGAAGAACTCCTTTCAGAGCTATAATGTGTACGTAATGCGTTAAAATGTCCGATTTTTACGCCTTTTTTAATTAGTTTTGCCTAACGGAGTGCATGACAAACTGCCACGATTCGATTGATTTTATTCAGCCTCAAGGATGCATCCGCTGAAATCTAGTTGCATAAGATCCTCATGAAGAAAATCAAGATAGCAAAATGAATAATTTTTTATACATGGAAAACAAATATATAAGCTAATATGTTTTATTCGATTAAATTTGAAGTCGCATCGTAGCATATGTCGTAATGAAGTTCTTAGTTATGCTTGTTGATTTAGAATCGTATGTAAGATGAAATAATGTGAATTATAATTGGAGCTGTAGGAAAAAATAAAATCTTCTATATCGGCTAATATTAGTGCCATACGATGAAGATTTCAATAGATTTTTTCTCAGTTGTAACAGGAGAGAAAAAACGTATGAAAAAGATATTGTTTTAATGGGTGCTAAGCAGTGACAGAACCAGGATTTCGGTTTAGCGAGAGCTGAGCTTCCTCTATTACCTCGATGGTTCCGAGTGTGGGCGTGAGTGTCTGGATACTTTTTAAGTAGTAATATGAACCGCTCTTGCTTTTCTTTCTATTCATCGTATATATGTTTGATATTCTCAATTACTCATATATGTGTCTTCTTTCCCATTATATATATGTCACTTTCTCTTCCTACTAAGTATTTTTTCCTATACTCACATTCCCTAGGCACTGTCCTAACGTTAACATTTTCTAGGGTTTTTTCTTATACTTTGCATGAATATGTCCAGCATAGCATGTTATTCATCATCCAATATATATCTATGATCTTTTCTCTAATAAAAAAGATATAACCTAACATACTCTTATTATTCACACTCACACCCACATCCTTTATGATAACTTATGCATGAATAAGAGGCAATAATGCTCAATGCATGCGTTTATTTTAAGATTTTGCATTCTAGTGAGTAATCAACCTAGACATTTTTATAAGAAAATTTAAAAAACTATTTCGAAATGTGTGAATATACGAATCAGTCTGCTAAGTTTTCCAATAGCCTGGTGCAAAAGCTAGGATAAGCATATAAACAACGATAGATATATGACCATCTTATTTTTTCATTGAATATCAACAGAATATCATTAAAGATTCGATTTGAGTTCATAAAGTTCATGTTCCTCAAGGAATTATAGAAAGAAGCTATCCCGTTTGTGCAGTATTTGTCTGCCAAACAATTGCTGAAGAATAATCAGTCCAAACTAGATTTCCTGAATCTAGCATTTGTAAACAGAATGGAATTCCAATACCACCATTGACGGTGTTGGAATACCACAGCACTCCACTAGCCGATGTATAAACAACCAAATGACGATCTGTTTGTAATGCAAGATAGCTTGTTTGGGAAGTTGAGGTTTGAGGTGCTATCCAAAGTGCTGTTGAAGTGACGTTCGCATATCCGTACGCTTTATAGACACCAAATTGATTATTTAACATGTCAGCTGCATAAATTTGAGAAGTAGGTGAATAGAGAAATTCATTATTATAGAGGTACGAGCCAGTAGTAGTCACGCACAAAGACGATGGTGGAGCTGCAATAAAAGGAACAGAGGCACGTAAAAATTTTATTTTCTGAAAATTTGCTTGATAATCAGCCTTTTTTAACGCTTTCATGCATTGTGGTTTAGTAAGACAAAAACCCATGTGATCAAAGTTTTATATCGGTACTCTATTGTGAGTAGTGTCTGAATATTATTGTAGACCCTTACATATTTATTGAATTACTAATAGCACTAATATAAGGATAAAATTTTCCTATGTTCACCTACTGTCATTATACTTGCGCATTCTTATGAAAACAAAAAAAAATTATTTTGTACCACAAGAGAGATTTTGAATTTATGAATGCATGATCATTAGATAAAACGTCAATGCTTGAAGTTAACTATTATAATTGTCGATGCCGAAAGTAACGGTTATCGTTCCAATGCATCCAACTCTCAACTGAATTCAAAATATTTTTGTGCTAAGATATTGTTTTGAAACAGTCCCTAGAGGTGTGCATGAGCTCAGTAATAACAAACTTCGAATAGTCAACTTTTTTTCTCTAAGTAAAAGATTCCAATAAATACGAGATTGTATATGTCATCATTCTAGTCACTCTCTTTTTTTTCATCAAATTTCAACAATATTTCCTATTATCCGACATAATAGATTCCAGCCTCAAATTAGAAGTAGAAGAAATTTTCATTCTTTTTCAGTCAATCGTTATTCGTTTTTGTCGTGAAGTCATCTCTTCGTCCATAATCTTATATTATAATATTTCATCTTCTGCTTTGTGTTTACGTTTGTTTCTTTTTCTTTAAAGGTGTTAATTCATTTTTTTTCTTCTTTTTGTTTTCTTTTGCTTTTTTTTATTTTTCTTTAATATCATATATACCACTCTAACAGATACCTATGATTGGACTGCTACCATTTTATGGTCGTTAAGGTCAGAGGGTTAGCTATCGCGAATGAAATAATGTTGATGTGGCTCTACCATTTAGTCAAATGAATATTTCTCATATCAAATTCGTCTTTTATTATCTTTTATGTGTCTTCGTCATTACACATAGCTAAGTCTAAAAGTTTATTCCGTCAGTATAGAATTCCATGAATCAGTATCCAGTGAGCATTACTTGTTACCAAAGACATGGAAAATCAAGAGTCAGATTCATTCGCTCTATTTAGAAGATATAATTCTATGTTTCTGATCATCATCGATTTTGTCTTTAATAATCTGCAAAAAAGAATGGCCCACTCAGAAAAACAAGAACGCTTAGTTATAAAAATCACTCTGTTCTTCAATAGAGAAGAATCAGAATATAAGGTTGATGAGATATTTACTTTTCATCAATTTACGTATTTTGTGAAACATAACAACACAATTTAATGAAGTTCTCGGCAGATGATTACTATTTTTACATTCGTTCTCTGTACCATATTAAAAGGTCTTTTGTGAGCTATATTCCTCAGATACTATTACCTGTGGTGGTTGTGATCGTTGTCGTACTGATAGATGTGGTCGTGGTCGCTGATGTGCTTGTTGTTGTGGTTGTAGTCGTGGATGTTATTGTAGTTGTAGTTGTCGTTGTTGTTGTAGTAGTTGTTGTGGTGGTCGTACTTGTTGTCGTTATTGTGGTCGTACTTGTTGTCGTTGTTGTGGTCGTTCCCGTTGTTTTAGTTGTGCTCGTGGTCGACCATGCTTCAATGATGTAGACATATTTAAAGAAAAGACTTTCGTATCACTCAAGTTTCCCTTATTCCTTATGGTATGCATTTCAGCTCTATGACTTTTCTGATGAGCTATAAATGTCTTCAAAAAATATTATCATGATGAGTTGATATGTAATAGATGACTGATATTCTTTCATCAAAAAGCTTTTCAAACCATGGGACTATAATCGCTTTTCAAGATATATCAGACGTGGGCAAAGGTTTTTGTGACATTTTGAAAAATCTCCTCGATATCCTTTTGTTGAGATAATCAGTTAATTTTATATAATTTTAGTGCACATCGATATCTTCTATGACTATGATATGTTGATACTCTTTTACTTTTTTCTCGTAGATTTTGAGATGTTTAAAAGTTACGATCTAAAACAGGTACCTATTCCTCGCTCTAGGTCAAGCAAATCGATTCGAGTCTGATTGGAAAATGTCTAGCTTTTTCGGTGACTTCCAGTCAACTTTCGATCATCCTCCCGGCTGATGTGAGTCCGATAAAATCCGATTGTTTCCAGTTCCTAGAATCATCTGTCTGAGCCAAAGAAAATAAGAAAAGCGCTTCAAATTTTCAATTTTATGCGCAAATATGGTTTTTCAAAGTATAATCGTCGTTAGGTATGTCAATAAAAGCAATCTGGCTCACTCGATGTTAGACCAAAACCTGGCTGTACCAAAAAACTAATGAGTTCACTAGAAGAAAGGACTTGATTTCAATATTCCTCGGTAAAGTTTACAAATGATGGCTAAGATTTTTATTGGGGGTGTATGACTGTGGATGTAAGCATTTGGTTTACTAGCATCCATGCCCAAATCCTTTCCATCACTGATTTTCGATAACAAAACATTTTTGAAGATAATAAATCATGTGTGCATGGTTTCTACGAAACGCTGACTTTTATACATACTGCTTTTATTTTGGTCTTGAAGATAAATTGTAAGCAGTGAAGCTAGAGCGATTCCAGCCATTAAAGCTCCGACGATAATTCCAATGAAAACTGGCCTCCAAACACGATTCCTTCTAAAACTCATACAAAATTACGAGAAAAGGCATCAAACAACAAACATTTTACTTTTTTGAGCGCGAGTGCTCATTAATTGTAATTCGATGCGTCTTCTCAATGGTCGTCGATGAATTCATATCTTCAAACGAAACTTTTTTGTTTATTCGTACTTTTTGTTGAAATACGACTTAACAAGTAGTTACAATCACTTCAATATGCGACTCTACTTCATCCACTGAAACTGAAGAGTAATTGAATTTGTTGGTGTTGTGTTTCTTTTTTTATGTAGCAATAGTCAAAATTTCAATCTTCGACTTTGACTATGGATTATTATTTGAAACCCTACAAATGTGATCAATATATAGAAGACATGAAAAGAATTAATTGAATTTATATATGTACCAGATATAGACAAAATAATCTTTATAGAGAGTTGTAAGATAAAAAAACAGAAAAAGAAACACAAATACTTTTAAACATAGTTATCTTCACAAATCTAGAAACCAAACAATATATTAACTGGTCCTGCATTATTGTCTTGGCCTACAATAGACTACTCATTAATAAAAAAATCGAGAAAAACCTGATTTTGATCGATTATAATCAAAATATTTGATTTTTAATCAATTTCAATTGATCAAAACTTATAAATAGAGTTTCATCGAATTTCTGTCTTGTTTGTTCAATTAATAGGTATCAAATAGTATCGAATCTCAAAGCATTATATACATGCTCAAGGCTAACATGGCATTATTTTTACCATTCACCCAGGAGAGTAGTTCGTGTTCTGTGATCATCACGATGAAAATCGATTTTCCCCAACTAACTTCATTTTAGTCTTATACACATACACGACGTCAAATCAAATTACGCATCTCTACATATACTCTAGTGAAAATTAGCACAATATTCCACTAATGTCATCGGTTCGTTATTACACGTTGTTTATGTGATGAATTATCTCAAAGTACATGTGAGCGCTTGTTGCCCACCTGGGGTTCACTTAGACCCCAGTGAAATTCTTTTTAACGTTTGGTAAATTGAAATCTTAGATAAAATCTTGTTCTTCCATCTATACTTTAGAGGCACCTAGTAGATTACGCTAGTGACAATAATCAATTACATCGATGCTGTAAAAAAAAGCTTTATTTCAGGAACAATAAGTTTTCAACTACGTTGCCTGTTACTGAAATTTCAGTTCTAAGAAAGAAAAAAATCATGCTGAAAAATGCGAAACGTTTCGATAAGACTTTTTCCTTGTCAACACAAAAGTTTCAGTTGGTTGCAATAGATGTAGAAACACTTCGTTTCCAAAATATTGATTTGTTAGTAGTCAATCATCATTAAAACAAAAAATTTTCTTAGGATACGCGTGAATGTTGCATATGCGATATACAATCTCAAACATTTTGATCATAGAGGATGAGAACAAAGTAAAAAGGATAGAATAAATTTCATTCAAATTAACTGCTGTTCTATCTGCTCTTCATAGACATAAATCTGCTTCAGAACCGTGATAGTTCCATTACAAAGTAATGGTAATATAGCATATTGTTTCTATCTTATCAGCCTGAGATCCGTATGGATTCTCAGATGGCCAACAAACGGTAGTTCGAAAGGTGGGCATTTCAGGCTTAAGTATAAATTGAACAGCAGGACTGAAACTGAAGATCTTGTAAATCTTGACTATTAGTATGAAGCATCTAATTGGCAAGAACAAAAATCAGTAAGAACGATCAGATGTCGAATTAAAGATATTGAGTATTTAGGTGTGGGTGTGAGTATAGAAATGAACTACATCCACACCCCTCACCGTTATTAAAGAGGCTGATAAATGTATTCCTCTTCACACTCTTTTATTTTTATTTTTTGCACTTATTTGAACTCACAGCTAGTGAATACACTTGTTCTTTTTCGATTCCAATCATTCTTCGGCATTACTTAACGGTAATTACGAATATACTATTTGTATTTAGTCTGTGCTATTTAAATAATATTTATTTATATCAGAGATCGTTACCTGATGAATAGCGTGATGCAGAATCCTGCGCTCTATTTTTGTTTTTGGGACTAAGTAGGAAGATCAGCAGCTTACGAACGAGTTGAGAACACCAAAAGTGTCTTCTATTCTTTGAAACTTTTTTGCAGAATTCATCTTCGTGGTTTGAATCTTGTGTTCTACTTTTTGTACATATGTGTTATTTACAAATATGTTGGTCGATTCTTGCAAGAAGTTTCAGTTCATGTAGAGGAATCGACTGCAGCTTTTCCTTATATATTCTTTGGTGTTGACATAATATTCTTCGCATACATGCGATACAATAGGATAAAGAAATTTTTCTCCACAATATAATTTACACAGAAATAGATACAGTAGTTCGAAATTGATGGGTTCTTCAAGGCAACAATTAATACATTTGTATTTAAGACAACTCGGGCAGATAATTTTGTGATACTATTATAACGCAGGTTAAACAAAGCTTTTTAATTCGAAGTCAGTAATTGCACTAAAATCGGATATGTATAGAATAAATTAGAATCAGATCCATCATACCTAATGCTCTTTTGACTAAACGTTTGTTGAAGATCAGTACTAGTGCTAGTTTGTACAAGATCAGACCTGACTAAACCGACCGATCTAATATCTGAAACGATAACGTTCCTGGTCATGGTTCGTACTGATTTTCTTTCAGAAAAAATTTTATTTGACATGGTCAGGTATGAAAATAACTTCATTACTAGTTCTCCTTGAGTCACAACGAAAATCGATAGAAGTTATGAGTAAGCTTATATTATATCAGTATTAATCTAAATAAGTCTGATCCACAGGTAACCAGTTGATATAAAGGTAACGACCAGTTTACTAGCAGATCAGTAGATGTAAAATTCATATTGGTACCGGTACCATCTTTAAAACACGAATGCAACAGACAAAGCTATTCTATTTTCTCTTGTACATTTATACAGATAGAACAGTCTTCTGTTTAATGTAATATGTGTGTCTCGAAGAAACTATATTTATTCACTTCTCTATAAAAAAATCAAGCACTTGCTGGAATTGGCATAACATTCTCATACTGTCAAAAAACCATTGTCAACGATGATAGCTATTATCAGTGTATTGGCGTAGAACGTAAAAAAGCTTTACTCTTAAAAGTTCCACAAAATAGTTACTCTATTTTTAACTCGTTATAACAATGATAGGAAAAAATACTTGTCATTCAAGTCTTTCGTAGGAAAGAAGGGAAACTCAAATTTTCAATGCCTGAAATGGCTTCGAACAGAGGAGCAATTATCCTTATCTATTATTTTTCGTTTCATCGGTAATGTGGCGAGTGCCATGTGTACGAGAAAAAGTGATGCGTTTGTCTCAAAGTGTGTGTGCACTATGAAGAAGGAACGATTTCATAAGAATATCTAATCTTACTCTTTATTACATTCATCAACGATTGTCAAAGGTGCAAAATAGAAAATATTAATCTGAACATCTCTTTGTTTCCAAAGTGATAAATATTCACATAGTCAAGGACCGAAAGAGAAAGGTGTATGCTTCTTTAGGTCTAATTAGTGTATAGCAACGGCCCAAGAACATTATTAGACGATGAAGGTGTGAATGTTAATGTAGCTGAAGCTGATAACCACAACCACAAGAAGTACACAAATATGCTTTTCGTCTGTTTATTCAAAGCATTAAAAAGTCTTATTGTCATTACGGTCGATTTCATATCATTTTACATATTGAAAACAAATTCAGATCATGAATAATATAAATCATCACTTGTAGCAAACACGTTCAAAATAAAAATAAAACAAACAATTCTCTCTTGATTGATTGTTAAGTAGAAAATGATGAAACGAGAATATTTTCAATAGTTGCTAATAGTTTCTTGGCTATATCAATATTTGAATTAGATGTTGTAAGACTTATATTAAATTCTAGAATGAAATTGAAAAATAAATATTTACTTAATCATACAAATATATCTACTAACTTTCTTGATTTGATAAATAAGACAATGATGGAGAACGACTACGATTAGCAGTAGTAGCCGTTGATGTACTTTTGAGTTTAGTATTAAAAGCATCATATACATGTGATTGTTGTACGACAAATGTAATCACTAATTGAATAGTTGGATTAGCAATCATTTGTTCACGAACTGCATCAATCATAATTGTTGCAATTATATCTGCTGGTATACCAAAACCACCACATCCAATAGCAGGAAATGCTAAAAAATATTTATGATTTCAATCAAGAATATATTCCTATTATTTAAAACAAAACACATACCAATACTTTTATATTTTCCTTGAATAGTATATTGAATCGCTTGTTGAATAAATATCGAGATTGATCGACGAAGTGCATCAATATCTTGATTAGTAGACAATGTTGATGGTGGTTTCCAAGGTAAAAACAGAAGACGTTTAGCTTGTTTTAAATTACCAACAGATGTGTCAATCATAGTTTTTGTTAGATCTTTTCCATTTAATTCTTGTTCAATTTGTTTTCCAGCTGCTTTAATTACTACATCACAGAGTTTCGCAGATGATGAACAAATAACAAGAACTTCAGACTATACACAAACAGAAGAACAACCTTTTTATTTTTCAAGGACTCCATCAGATAAAATCGTCAATATGGCTCATCATAGTATATGACTCAAACGTATATCACACGAACGATTCAACGTCCTTACATGCTTCAATGTACTTTTACAACTTTGATTTGGTTAGATTTGTTTTTACATTGAACACTTACTTATAAGTTTGAAAGTAGTAACAGATACATCTTGCTCTACTCTACAAAATGCACATCGATAGTCGATACTTGACATCATTTTTGTTGAGAAATATGAAAAAGACTGATTTCGATAGAAAACATTTAAAAAAAATGAGTAATAGTTTGAAAGTTTTATTATCGAAAATATCCATGACATTTGGAATCAGCATGCAAAAATTCCTTAAAAACTTGATTTTTTATCGTTAAATATTTCCGTCAAATGTTGAACCCTATGGAGGAAGGTGAAGATTAAAATTGAAGGAATACAGAGCTGATGGAAAATAGAGATGAAAGTTTGACAGAAATATTTTACAACGAAAAATCAAGTTTCTAGTGAATTTTTGCATGCTAATTCCGAATATCCTGTCTATGTTCGATAATCAAACTTTCGAAACATTACTCTTTTTTTTTTACATATTCTGTATGGAAATGGTTCTTTTCATTAAAAAAAAGACTGATACCAATGGTGCTCAGAAATTCCATATTTCTTCGCAAAAATAGTGTCAAGTATAGGTCATCGATATGCATTTTGTAGAGTAGAGCAAGATGTATCTTTTACTATTGAGCAAACTTGGAAAGAAGTGTTCATGGTAAACAATCTAGTCAACTCAAAATTGAGATGTATGGCCTTATTCTGAGAAATCTTTTACTTGTTCTGCTGTGAGATCACCATTTGATACATTAATTGTTTCTGAACTAATTTTTGAAGTAGTAGGTGTTATTCGATTATATGTTGTTGATTGAGATGATAATGTTATTGAAAGTAGACAATGATTTTTAGATGCTAAATCATTTAATTCCTGTTTTTTATTATTAATTAATTGTGTGGAACATTTAATATCTTTGGATAACATTTGTATTTGGCTCATTTCAAATAAAAATAATTTAATTTTTTCATGTAAATATTTCGGTGCTACAAATTGACTTGTTGTATCACCGTTTAATGCTGATCGTAAATCGACATTATCCGTTTCATATTTTTTTTCAAACTTAATTAAATCAGCTGAACAAATATGTAATAAAAAATTAACCTAGAAATAAAATAGATCTTATGTCGAGTCGTCACATTGTTCTATTTAAGATTTATCATATTAAGTTAGCTGAGGCAAGAAGAATTCATTTCAATGCACTATCTTTCTGAATTTAAAAAACACTGTTTATAAATAACTTTTACGAGTTTGTCTTAAACGTGAAATACTATATGTTAAGACTCTTGCGTGAACTGCTTTATAGGTTATTATTATAGCTATTTCTTATATCAGTCGGTAGGGTCTATCCAATGATGCCAAGTATCATTTTTAAGTATCTATTCGTGATTTCATTGACTGTAGAGCCGTTTAAATTGTTGACTGCAAAAAAAAGAGAAAGCCTCTATAACAATATTAATCATATATCAGCAGCTTTTTAAAAGCTCATGGATCCAAGACAAGTATATGAAATAAATGAATGTGGTTATGCATAATTGCATGTATAGCAACGGTATAGAAAGTATGAAAGCCCTTGTTCACCCAATAGGACTACGATAACTGCGATGAAAACTACAACGGTAAATTATTGACGAGTTTGGTCTTAGGAAAAAAAAGCCAATTGGGAAAAACAAAATGCATCGACAATACAGCGTTGAAAACTTTTAGACGAAACATTCTTTCGTTGTTCAAATGATTAAACTAGTCAGTAGAAAGTATTAAACACTTGGTTACAATCAAAATTCTGTACTTTTTCCAAATCTATGCTTAGAATTTTGTGATATTCATAGCTCAGCAGTTACGTGGGAATCTTTGAAAAGCCTAAAAATAAATCTTAAACGGAGAATGTTTGACTAAGTAATCCTAAGATAGGGAATGCGACTTTATCCTATTGAAAATTCATTTCAACGCTGTTGTTTATTGATTTTTCTCGTTGCTTTGGTAAAAATATCCATTTTGTTTAATTCTATTTTCTTTCGCTTGACTGCATCACATTTTGAATTTTTTTAGACCTACAGCTGAATAATAGACTTCTTTCTTGCACACATTCTATTAGCAATTTTTTGCACAGCATAAAGGTCGTGAATGTTTTATACAAAGCCAGCTACAAAACTCTTATTCTTGATAGACATCTTACGGAAAACTGATCATTGGATTATCCGTTTTTAGAATCTCAATCTTAGACATTTTATTAAGCACTGTTCAAACTTTATTGTTAGACCTATCAAATATTTACTCACAACTCTTGTGTTGTACGTCTCATAACAATTCTGAATATTAATCAGTCAAAAAATGAACATACATTTTGTATAAAAACTTTCGACGCACTCGTTATTTTTAAGCCTGCACTGTTTACTAAACATAACAAGTACGTACTTGATTTGACGCCAATTGTATATTACACGGTATCGGTGCATAATCATCAGCAATTCTTTTAACTTCTTGATAAATCTGTTGAACAATAGATTCTGTTCCACATAAATGTATCGAAGGTAATCGAATTCTTTCTCTTGATCCTTTTCGATAATTATATAAACAACATATATCTTGTCCATAATCAGATCTTTGCTGAATTTTTTTTTGTAATTCTTCTAAATTAAGTTCAAGTTTTTCACTTGTTATTGAAACATGATATGAAATATTGAAAAGATTATGTTGTATAATATCATCAATTTGTTGTTCATCAACACCAAATTGTGGACTATCAGCAAAATATCTTACTAATAAAATACCATCATTTTTTGTTGAAAAACTACATGTTGATACAATTGAACATTGATCAAGTTGCCATTGTACTACACGATAAATATCCGGTATAGAAAATTTACAAGCTAAAATAACACAATAAAATTTTTAAAAAGAGAAAAAAGAAAACTAATACACATACAATCATTTGTATCAGAATAATTTTTTGTTTTTAATGATGCAAATAAACTTGTTAAAGTAGGTCGAGCATCAGAAACATCTTTATATTGACCTTTAAGTTCAAGAATAATTTTTGCTGATGAAATAGGTTTTATGTCTAATTTAATATTGAATGCATTTGATAGATAAGTAGTAAGACGATCAGTAAATGGATTTGTTGAAGTAAAAAAAGGAAAATAAACACTATTTTCAATTGGATAAGAAAGTATTTGACTTTGGTCTTGTGATGGTTTTGTTTGAGATATAACTAATCTAATTATAAGATTATAATTACAATAAAATAACAGAAAAAAAATGAATAATTCAATACTCTTTCATTGGTGATGATAGTGGTTGTTCTTGTTTTCTAGGAGTTTCTGGTCGTTTATTTCGAATTGTTGGTGTAGTTAATATTTTATTGTGTTGTCGACTAGATAATGATAGAGTTGGCAAAATTTCATCCATAATATCACGACGTGCAACAATTAATGTTTTATTTGTATCTTTTTGCCATTTATGTGCCATTCTGGAATAATTATCTTTTATAATTTTAACTTGTGTTTTGTCTAAATTACAAAGTTCTTGAAAGACAAATTTTTGTATAAACATATTCGTATAACGAGCTAATTCTTTACGAATATATTCATTAGGTACTTGAATTGATGAACCGTTTATTTGAACCGAAATATTTAAGTTTTCACCTAAATAATAGAAATAATGATATATTAACAAAATAGAATAATTCATATTAACAAAATAGAATAATTCAAAGACAATTACGAATATATTTTCTATATTCATCACCAAATACTGGATGTGTTAGAACAACACGCCAATCAGGTTTAATTGTGTAATGACCAGGATCTTTTTCTCCTTTTTGTGAATCATCTGATACATTGCAAGGGGTAGATGCTGAAGATATTTTTGATGTTGCAAATAGTTTTGTTACTTCTTCATCATCTTCTTCATGTTTTTCTAACGGTTGAATGAAATCAATAATCGGATGGATACTAAGAGACATATCTTGTTCGATTCTATTTGCTTCTGATAACCATTTAGCTGTGACTAAAATACAAATACAGGAAATTATTTTCTTTTTAATTTTTATATAAACAGATAAATAAACCTTCAGCATTCATTAATTCAATATCAGCACTAGTCTGATTTCGAATATAAAGGCAAGCAAAAACATCTTGTTGCCAACGCTGTTCACCAATTAATTGACGTAATCGGGATACAGTCATAGATTGATGATATGAACCATTTACAAATGAAACTTCAAGAGCTTCTGCTTCATATACTTCAATAATAGTTATACGATAACCTTGTAAAGTATTTTTTGCGGAATATGCTTTATATAAATGTTCGAAATCTAGAAAAAGAAATTTTTCTTTGAAATTCATTTCAATAATAAATATACATACCAATAGGTTGTTCACCTCGAATAAGATATATTTGTTCATCATTACCATCGATTGTCATATCAAATATATTTGGATGAACTTTTCCAATAAGTGTTTCAATATATAAATTTAATCGTATACTATCAATTTTTTTATCAGTATTAAATTTAAGTGCAAATATTCTTTTATCTCTTTGGCGTTCGGTTCGTTTCATTTTTATTGGTATATTATTATACATTATAATTGGTTCATTTTGAATTATATTGTCGATAGCTGATAGAACAAAAAAGAAATAAATTATAAGAATTAATAATTAGAAAAATAAAACTGTTTGTCATCATCAAGATTTTCAGTTATTCGAACTTTTCAATATTTCATTGTTTATATCTATTCAAAAAAAAACTTCCCATTCTCTATTGAGGATGCCTTTCTAGATAAGTTAAAAATTGCGTAAATAGGTTTCGACGACATTCTAATAGAGAGTACACAACAATAGCAATTAATACAATTTATCGTTGATCGAATCAATGATAACCACTGGAGTTAAATGTGTAGGAAATGCACTAAATAAATTCTTTCTGTAAAGCTGGCATTATTTTTTTTCAAAGAAACATAGTAAGTGGAAGCTTTGCGACTCTCCTTTCATGGCAACGGGAGCTATATACCTTCATCAGAGTTCCTTAGCAGTAGAAGAAGACGCTGAATGCAATTGGACTTAGACTGTTCCGAAAGATTCTGAAGCCGTCCTCAAAATAACTGGTCTAGCTCTTTCAAAGAGTTTACACTAAAAGTATTTTTATTAATTTCATTTTTAAGTGATCGATTTTGTTTTTTATGTCAATAAAGATCATATATTATTTAAAAGAATTTTCTAATTCTAATTTATTAATTACCTTGCTTATTCTGAAATTGTAATGTATATCGTCGATAGAATTCATTCGATATTTGGTTTTTTAATGTTCGTTCGATAATTATATTTTTCGTTGCTAAAATAAGTTCAATGATTTCAAGATCAACATCTGGTGCAGCTTGTTCCGATGGAATACTAATATCTAACTGTCGTTCTATAATCTTATCTATTGATGTAGATGATTGAGCAGGGGATTTATTTAATTGTGATGGCGGTCTTGATTGATAAATTCGTTTTATTCCTTGTGTATTATTCGAATCAATACTACTAGATTGAGAAGATGACGATCTACTGGTATTAACATGACTCTCTATTCGAGACTAGAAATAATGATTATTTTAGAGATAAATAAATAAAATTTTGTTTATTTTATTGTACTTGTTCATGATTTCTGTTGTAATGACGACGAAGTAAATTAAGAACAAGATTTTCATTTAATGTATCATAATTAAATCGACGTAATAGAATGACATTATTTGGATGATCACTAAGTTTATGTGGATAACTACAAGGTTTTTCTAGTGGTTTATTTGAAAAATGAGACATATAACGGCATAGGTGTAATTGTGTACATTTCATTTTATTTTTACAACTTTTCTGCAAGCAGGCTTCACAAAGAATTAACTATATAAGTAAAAATAAAAACAAAATGAAGTTTATCTAATGAACGGATCCCACCGGATTTGATGACCTTATTGTGAACCAGCATATCATATCTGTGGTGGTTAAAATCCTTTAAGAATATATGTATATGGTACTCAAAACATTATTGTTCAATAGTTTTTCTTGTGACTTTCTTCATACTTAAAATTGCTCCTGTTACTTCGGGCTCGGTCATTTCTTTACTATGTAATATTCTAGTGTGTTCAACTCTGTGTCACAGAAACAGTTCGTATCAATGTGAAGTTTTCTCAAAAATTGTACACTATGAAACTATATTTTTCACAGAATAGCCTATTTTCCTATATGAAGAGATCGGAACAGTGACAATAATTTAACAATACTCAACGATCCTATTAAAAACATCTTTGCATCAATAATTAGCATAGTATCCCTCATGAACTGATATAGGTAACTCTTTTATAAGTGAGAAAAATTTGCTGGCCCTCGAATTTCTAGAGAAGGGTGTGAGTATTATTACGAATTCTGCTTTAATAGACATTGCTTAAGAGCTTTTAAACGTGTACTTGATTAGTGTATTTTTCTCGTTTCCCATATACTATTTCTTAGTATAGAACTACCTTGAAAAATACAGTAAACACAATGACAGAAAACTAGAGAGTGCAAGAACAATTCCAGAGGAAAACAAAAATTAGCTTATAATTATGGATCACGCTATGTACGGAGGCATTGTGGTTATTTCAGTTATGGATAACAGTATGTACAAGAGAAGGACATACCAAGACTGCCGTTCCAAAGTACATAATAGGAGAAATAAGAGATGAAAGTAGATCAAAGTATAGATAAATAACAGACAGAAAAAGCATAACGATTATTTCAATCGAAGGCAAGTAACAACCTACACGTTAGATTGGATTATTACAGGTATCGGTGTAGGAGAAGAGAAAAATACTCATATCTACGCCGGTATTCTACATTGTTGCAAATTGTTCTAGAAAACCTCATATACGGCCTCATAGTTCAAGATAGGTCACTGAATCTGGTGGAAGCCTTTCTAATAAATCTATTCTTACTTTTGGACTTAATTGTATTAAACATAAATCATTTGATATAGGTTGAAGATTAAAAAGATTTAAAAGACTTGGCGAACGAATTATTTGATTTAATTCATCAGCAGTTATATCTATATTCCGATTAACTAATATATTATGTAATTCAATAAATGTCATTTCATTTCGATGTGATTTATCAAATGCACGTAAAACTTCATCAAATAAATTGAATGCAGCCGCCATTATTGTACAAATATAAATGATATGACTTCTAAAAAGAAAATATTATTTCATATCGTTCTATATAAACTGCTTTGCAAGTATCACAAGATTAGCGACTAGAAGAAAAAAAATGAGAAGAAATTAAAAAAAAACAAAACAAATTCACATTCTTTAGATATAAGAGAAAAAAACAAAAAATAAGTGTTCATTTATAGGTGATTAAATGATCTGCATATGCACCGGCATCATGATATACGACAAAGATATGTTGTCCATCTGTAGTTGTATCATAGCCAGATGGAGGAACTTTCATTGTTTTATCTCCTTTGCAAGTTTTTCCAATAAGAACACGTGCTAAAAATATAGTTCTTTCTCCTGCACTATTTGGCTGTGCATACTGATGGCTGTAACTGGCTTGAACATGAAAATATACTCCACAACCGTACAAAACACCTAAACGAAAGATCCTATTTTCCTTATATTCAGTACGCGTCGATTTACCATTAACACCGGCAAATGATCGATTGAAACATTCTCGAGCAATCTGATCGACTGACGTACTAGGGCATCCATGGAAAAGTAAACGTTCATAATCTATTTGTGGATAACGTCGTTTGAAATCATCACGATGTGCAGCATACTATTGAAAAAAAAAAGATTTAATAAACTTTTTTCTCGGTCACCTATAAGGACAACTGATTAGAGACATAAGCAGATAGCTAAAATTAAACGTTTTCGCTTTTTTACCAATATATGTTTAGATTTTCTCTCTGGAATACGATTGAACAACTATCATTAGATTCTTTGAAGACATTCAAAATAGTGCTTGCACATAATGTTATTTCGATTGAAATCTATCAAATTCAAAATGCGAAATAGTTTTTAATAGTTCAGTTCTGTCGAATAAAGTTGGCTCTACAAAGCATGTTATTTATTTTTCTATTTTGATCTCATATGACATCTCCAGATTGTTTCTTTGTCATGTTATAAGTATTCTTCTAAAATCCTAAGAATCGCTCAACTGATATTGAAGGATTGATCATTTTAAAATGATCAATGGTGTTTGTTTTATTGTTTTGTAGTAACATGAAAAGAAGCAAACGAAATTTTCATAATATCGCTTTCATAGCTTTATGTTGTTTCTAAAATATCTGGAGAGTTTGAGCTTGATTCTATTTTGCTTTGAACTTTTTCATACAATTTACTGATAGCTGTATAATCTTATCCCAGAGGCAAACTGTCAGCGTATATTCGAAAAAAAACGAAAAATTCAGATTGTAATTAACTGCTTCTAGCTCTAACCAGTTATTTTTTAGTAGTCCCAAAATAACCAAATACTTCGTGCCTTAGGTTAAATCAAATCAAGATTGAAAAAATTATAATAAAACAAAATTTTTGAAAGTATGATATTGAATTCTTTACCTGCTTATACCATCGTTCATTTTGAATACGTTCAATTTTAACTATATTCGAATATTTACCAAGCATCGTAACATGAAATTGTGCTAGTACATTTTGATATTCTTTTGATGACGGCTGTAATGTGACTCGTTTACAGCTTTGATCTGAAGTTTCCCATGTCTTATATGAAAAATAATTGTTCATTATTTATTTTAAAAAAGAATTTTTATTATAAATAAAAATTTACTAACATCTGGTAATGTTAAATCGACAGGTTTACGACGCACACGACGAATATTTGTTCCATGATGTTCTTGCATTACAGAAAAAACTATTCGACATTTCTCTTCTCGATCATCTTGAAAATCTACCTAAAATAGAAAAATGAATTTTATTTACAATTTGAAGAAGATTAACTCACAAAATAAAAATTGATACTATTATTGATATGACACAAAAAAACTATAGATTAGATGCTGTTGCTATTTAGTTTCTGAATAAAAAACTCACATAAAAGCAACGATAGAAACAGAACCGTTGGAATCAAAAGAGAATGAACACAATTCAGAGTACCTAAACTATTGTTTCGAAAATCCGGCTGCTGAGTAGAATATAATTGAAAATTGCAATTAGTTTAGTGAGTACCCGACTTTAAAATTCTTCTACATGTTCAGCTAACCAGGCTGCGACAACAAAATTAGCATAACTACAGATTTATGAAGCACTTGTTATGAAATTTCTGTAATATATATGTATAGCAATGTATTAATACGGATAATCTAATAGAAATCCTTAAAGTACTACTCCTCTTTTTGCAGAATGAAGTGATGGACACAATAGAAGATCCTCTCTTCATTTTTTTTTCTCAAAAAATTATAACTTTAATTGGTATATTTACATTAAGGCATGATTAATTTTAAGCGACAAACCTCAAAAAAATCTGGCGAGCATTATTTCTTGGCGCTTAACATCTTAAAAACTCTTCACAAAACCTTAAAATCATTTGAGTTATCTGTAAAACATTTTTTATCATCAAAGGCATAATTGAACCTTTTACCGTTCATGAAACTGAAAACATCATTATTATTGCAACTTTGAAGAAATAGTTGTTTCAATTAAAAATACTTATGAATAATTTCAAAAAAAAATGAAATATCGACAATGCTAAAAACACACGAATATCAGTTTTTTTTTAGTAGAGTATCACTAAATGAGCGATTCCAACAATAGTTTCTAGGGATTAAGGTTGAAATTAGTTTTTCTCCCAAAGGTTCTACTACCCGACACTTGGTTTCATTTGAATCCTTGTGTATAATAAATACTCAGTGTTTAAAGTCATATTGGGCTTACAGAGAACTCTCGAAAAGGCTAGAAAAAATCTAAAACAGTTCGTAATCACAGACATCTGGAGCTGAGTTATGACCATTTTACTGAATTCTCGAATCAGCTTCAGGTATCTGCGAAAAAATCAAATAAAGATATTTTATCCATGAATAGATCCAATGACTAGTAGTATATTATCGAAGTTTCTACAAAAAAGAATATTTCTTTGTCAAGATTTTGAATTTTCAAGTAAATTCAGTTTTTGTAACAAAAGAACATTCTTTTTGAATGAAACTCTTATAATATTCAACTAGTCATTTGAACTATTTATGAGCAAAATTTCGGATCAAAATATCCTTATTTGATTTTTTTAGAAATACTTAAAGCTGGACCGAAAATTCAGTAGAAAGGCTATTACTTCACTCCAGAAGGGCTTATTCATTAAACATACAATATGAACACATACATGAGGATATTTTTTCAAAAACGCATCTTCAATAATTCCATTAAGTTTAAATGAATATTGTTCCCATACATCGGAATTAGGTATTAATTCAATTGACCAAATAGCACCACGTGAAACTGCATGAATACGTGCTTCTTTAAATGTTTCACTTGTTAATTCATAGAAATATTTTTCAGCTTCATGTATCTAAAATCATTATCAAATATTCAACGAAAAGAATTCATTCTATTAAAACATTACTGCATCTTTTGCTCCAACAAGTTCAATTGTAACATTATCAAAATCAAGTGTTGGCATAACATTTTGTTTTATACAATATTCATAATATTTATTAATTGTATTTTGTGACCAATCTAACATATCATTTTTATTTGTTAATTGTGATTTTATTGACAATGATCGAGCTAAATCAATAATTTCTTGTTTACATTGCATTAAATGATTATCATTTGAACTAATTAATGTTATTTTAATAACTAAATCAAAAAACAAAACGTTGAAATCAAACAAAAGAATTTTTTTATTTTACTTTTTTTATCATATGCTATTGTTGATTTATTAACTTGCTTTTTCGTTGGATTGTTAGTAGATACCATTAGATCTACAACTAGCATTTGATTAAGATATTTAATAAATTCATCATAAACATTTTGTTGTGTAGATAAAAGAACAAATGAAATATTCATTTTTATTTTAAATGTTGTGAGTTGTTTTCTTGTTTCATGTAACATATATTTAGCTATGATCGATGGATCAAAATTAAATTTTCCGCAGCCAACAGCTGGAAATGCTGAAAACAAAAATATTGAATAATTAAATATCACAAGGAAAAATAAGATATAGAATTTGTTTAAACTAACCAATACTTTTGCATTCTGTTGAGACAGCAAGCACAAATGCTATTGAAACAAATGTACTTAAAGATGATTTAACATCGGCTGGATCATGAGTTTTTGGTGACCATGGTATAAAGAAAATTTTTTTGCATGGTAATGTACCACCGGATGTTGTATTTGGAAATTGTTCAGATGCTTTCAGGAGATTATATTCATTTTGTATTTGAACACCAGCTTGGTCAACAATTTTCTTGCATAGGTATTCTGATGAAGAACAAAGTACGATGGCATCAACCTAAAATGAAATAATCAATTTGATTCGTGTTTTTTTTTCTATTGGAAGATTATTAGAATGGAAAGTCGGTAAGTGTGACTTCTATTATCTCATCTTCTTTTACTTAATAAAAATAACCTATTGTTCTCTGTAGACTTGATCAATTACAATGAGTTTTTGTTTAGACATCAGAATATTTTAAAAGGCTTTTGAAATCTTGAATCTATCATTGTTTTAATGGTATTTTAATTGAAGTGCATCATTTCTCATGGACACATACATCTACCGGTTTTACCTATCGGATCCGAAAACTGTAGACTTGATGAGCGTTACTCGTCTCAGAAATGTGTAGAGTGCGCTAGTTACTAATTACAAAAAACTGGGAAAAGATCTTTGATGTCTTCAGAGCGGTTGTCTAGTTTCAATTAAAAAAAATTTCATTGACTAGTATCAAAGCACAGTTCTATTGAGTCCCAGTCCGAAAAATGTTGAGTACTTGCAAAAGCTACGGGCACGTATTGTTACAATTGTTCTTATTATAAAAAAAATAATGATACTCATCTTAATGGTAAACTGTACAACATTTTGTATACGTAAAAATCAAAATAACCATGAATCTCAACGCCCACGAGAAATAGTATATTCCAATTGGAAATAAAAAGCATAGCTTTGGACTGCTGTTTGTCTGTGTTTGCAATTATTAAAGATATTCAAGTTTTGT